TCTCCCGCAGGCGGGCACGGCCCATTTCCAGCGTGGAGCACTCGCCGCGCCTCCACAGATAGGCCTTCAGGCCGGGGAGCTGTCTCTTGTGCAGCAGCAGGTTCCAAAATTCTCATCTCCACTTGAAAGTTTGAATTTACCATGGCAACAGAGACTGTCCATTGTTTTCCTTGAAGTGACAGGGTCCTGCGTTCCCTCTGGAGAAAACGTCTGCCCAGACTCCAGGTCTGAGCAACCACAGCCCGTCGGTCAGTGGTTCTTTCACACGGCCAGTCCAGCTCACACCTCGACATCACATGTGCGAGCAAGCAGGACGTTCGTGGGACACCCAGTTCCTCACGCCCCAGGGCCGAGACTAGATTCCGTTAAATTAGGAACGTTTGCTGATTCACCCGGCAGTCCCTAACGGACTCTGGCGCTTCTTTTGCTGGGGGGTGGTGGGGAAGAAGAGGTCGCCCCGCCCAGGGGGGGCCACACCGGGATGCTTGCCAAGGAGCAGACAGCTTCGCCCACTGGGGCTTTTGCACCATCTGTGCAAACGTGAGCCCAGTGAAAAAGGCAAATCACTTTATGTTTTTCCTGGGGCTGCCATAAGAAAGTACCAGAAACTGTGAGGCTTCAACACCAGGAACTTATTCTCTCCCAGGCCTGGAGGCTGAAAGTCCGAAATCAAGGCATCGGCAGGGCTGGTTCCTTCCGAGGCTGCGGGGGAGGATCCGGTCCAGGCCTCTACCCCAGCTCCTGGGGTTCGCCGGTCTTCCTGCTCCTTGTCTTGCGGATGCGTCACCCCCATCCCTGCCTCCATCTGCACACGACCTTCTCCACATGCGTGCGCACGTCTCTAAATTTGTTTATTATAAGGACACCAATGTTGGATTAGGGCCTACCCTCACAACCTTCTCTTATATGAATTTCGGGGGACACAGTTCAACCTGTAACACACTTCTGTCTTTTTTGTTCTGTTTTTTTGTGAGGAAGATCAGCCCTGAGCTAACATCCCTGCCAATCCTCCTCTTTTTGCTGAGGAAGATGAGCCCTGCACTAACATCCATGCTAATCCTCCTCTTTTTGCTGAGGAAGACCGGCCCTGAGCTAACATCTATTGCCAATCCTCCTCCTTTTTTTCCCTTTTTCTCCCCAAAGCCCCAGTAGATAGTTGTATGTCATAGTTGCACATCCTTCTAGTTGCTGTATGTGGGATGCGGCCTCAGCATGGCTGGACAAGCGGTGCATCGGTGCGCGCCCGGGATCCGAACCCAGGCCGCCAGTAGCAGAGCGCGCACACTTAACTGCTAAGCCCGGGGGCTGGCCCCCACACTTCTGTCTTGTTATGAAACTAGTTTAGAGCTCAGGGCCCATGAAAGGGTCTTGGGGCCCCGTGGAGCCCACCTGGAGAGCTGTGGTCCAGGGTGTCTGCTCCATCTGGCTTAGCTACTGAGAAGGGCCCCCTGCAGCCTGGCAGCCCCCGGCAGCGGCCTGGTGGCTCTCTGGGGAACGCACATCCTTGATTTTGATGAAGTCAAACTTGGCCACTCACTTTGAAGTTTTGTACAGAAAATCATCCATCAACTTTATCAGAAAGGCAATTTCCACATTTTCTCCTACGACGTTGGTGGTTTGGTGTCTCCTGTCAGTCTGGCACTTCCTCCGTTCATTCACTTTTGAGAGGGGTCAGGGGGGTCCTGTTTATCTTTCTCTAAACACAGAACTGTGTTCTCAGTACCACCTTGCCTGGGAGCCCTTCCCCACTGGTGCCCCTGCCGAGTGCCGCCTTCTCCAGGTAACAGGTGTACCTCCTGCGTTGATTCTGTTTCCGGCAGCTCCATCCAGATGTGTGGGACATCTTACCCCTGTGCTATTCCATGCATTGACCTCTTGGTAAATCAAACATTTTAAGCAAGTTACAGAGAAAAAGCTCTTCCTAAACAGCCTGGGAAGCCCCTGGTGGCTCCCGGCCAGGCCTGAGTGGGCTGGGGGGCCGAGGCAAGCTGTAGGGGAGGAGAGGAGAGCAACTAGAGCCATGCTGGTCGGGGGAAGGCCACAAAGGCATGCCTGTCCCCAAGACAGAGACAGGCCTTGTTCTTGGGGACGTTTGCTGGCGGCACAGCTGGGCACAGAGCGGGTGCTGGGCGGTAGTCCCCCCCTCGCCGACCGTGACGTTCCCCACTCGGCCCGTGGTCAGCGTTCTGCAGCCCCGGCCTCCACTGGGGCTGGTGCCACCACAGCCTCCCTCTTCCCTGCTTGACAGCCTGGAGTGGGAGGAGGGGAGGAGGCTTGGGGACATGAAGTGCATTGGAGATCAGCCCCTCCCCCGCTCTGGGGCTCGGGTCAGGTGACCTGGCCCCTCTGTGCCTTGTTCTTTGTCCCCGCCCACTTCCTGGGCACTGAGATGACCAGGATGCCAGGGAGGGTGCTCAGTCACCCCTAATCTGGGGCCCTACAGAGTGATGCCCTCAGGGTGGAAAGCAGTGACTCCTCATGCTGACCCTGACAGCTGTGTAACCTTGGGCCCATCACATCTGCCGGCTCTTGGGAGGGTCCCGGGAGGTGGTGGGGAAGCCCCTTCCGGGAGCCCAGAGGCCTGAGCAGTTGGGCGGGGCCAGGGCACCTCGGAACCAGCAGCTCCTGGGTAGTGGGAACCAGCCTGGGCCCCCGGGGACTAGGGGGCTGGGGCCTCCTCAGGCTGTCCAGGAAGCAGAGTGGGGACAGTGGGGGACAGAGCAGGTGGTGGCCTGTGGATGGGATGGGGGAAGGGCGAGGGAGCAGGTGTAGGTTCTGAGGCTCTCGAGACAAGTGATCCAGCCCAGAGTGGGCAGTGTCCCCAAAGCCCAGAGTGTCCCGGTGAAGGCAGAGCCCTGCTGGTGGGAGCCGGGGTGGAGGTAGGGGGCTGGACTGGGGGCAGTCCCACTGACCTCCGGTTCTGGGCTAGCAGAGGCCCCCTCCGGAGCAGGTGGAGCTGGCGGTGCCTGTCCCCTCTCCAGAGGGAGGGGCTCAGGCAAGTAGGGCAGGTCGAGGTGGTCTGATCAGGGGTACCCATCCCTCCTGGTGGTTCCAGTTCTGGACCTTTAGGATCTTCGGGTTTCTGGAGGGAGGGCCAACGCCCTCTTCCCTCTCTTTTCCTCTTGAGCCCCATCTCCCTCTCTGTAGGGTCCTGCACAGGCCCGGGGGATGGACCATCCTCTCATGACCTGGGGGTGGAGGGAGGATCTTCCTTTTCCAGGGAAAGGGGCCCGTGGCAGTGAAGTTCCAGTGGTGGCCCAGAGGAGACCAGACACCCCCAACTCCCCTTGACTGGGGCCCTGCTGGACAGACTCGGCCCAGTGTGGCCTGTCCCAGCCGAGAGTCAGGGCTCCCCAGGCCTGGGGGCTGGGCCTGGCTCAGTGGTAGACCAGCCGAGGGACAGCCCTCTCCACCCCGCCCCGCCAGGCGCAGCCTGCTCTCTGCACCCAAATTCCAGCAGTCACCCCTGCCCATCAGGCGGAGACCCCAGGACTGAGCCTCCGGACACCCTGACCAGAGTTGGTCCACAGGCTGCTTTGGGGACACACAGGTCAAGACGTCCCCGGCCGGGCCAGGTGCCAGGCAGTCCCCTGGCCACCATGCACCGCAGCACGCAGAGCCGCCAGCAGAGGGCTCCAGAGCCTCCTCCGAGGGTGGGGCCCCGTGAGCTCTGTGGGCGCCGGCGGTCAGGTGCCCAGGCAGTGCAGAGTGTGGTCCACTGCTTCCTCAGGGACACTCCCCCGCACTGCCACCATCCTAGCTGACCATCAGCCGGTCCGCAACCCCCTCCCCCGCCTGGGTACCTCCCTCAGCTTGGGGCTAAGCTCTCCAAATCCGGTTTCCACCTGGCCCCTCTGATTCATGCCCTGCAGCCCGGCCTGCCCTGAGGTCTGGCGGACCTGGCTCCAGACCATTCCCACAGTTCAGGCCTTCTGGACATTTGGCCTGGGAGAGACAAAGCCAGCGGAGTGGGCAGGGCCCCCTCTCGGCCCCTCGCCTCCCAGGAATGTCCTCCAGGCTCTGAGGGACTTGGGTGTGGAGAGGAGGGTCTCCTGGGCAACCCCCACCTGGGGTCAGGGGGTGAGCAGCCTTACTTGGAACGTCCACGGCCTGGCCTAGCACGGCCTGCCCTCTGCACCACGGCTCTTACAGAGGGTGCGATCTCAGGCAGGCTCCAGGACCCACAGCGCCGCCACCCCACCTCCACGAGACAGACACGTGGCTGCCAGGAGACTTAACTGGTTTAATGACTTGGCCTTTGAGCCTCATCACCTCTCATCTCTGGGGTGTGACCCGCAGAGTCCAGAGCTCCAAACTCACCTGCCCCCCGCCCAGCACACAGGGCGAGGCTGGCCTGAGACTCGGTCAGAAAAAGTTCCTTTCTCGGGCTCTGCCGAGGGGGTGGGGTGTGGGCGGGGGGTGCCCCAGGCTAGGGCTTGGGTAAGTGTGCGTCCAGTCCAACCTGGCTCCTCGAAAGGGGGGAGGGAGTACAGCATGCACCCCACCCCAGTGGGGCCTGGAGACCCCCTGCCCTGGCCACCCTTGGGGGTCAGTGCACTAGGTGGGTGCTGTGGGCAATATCTGAGGGCAAGGGTCACCAGCCGGGCCAGCTCAGAGCCCAGGGTAGCTGGGCGACTGAGATCTGCTGCCCTTTGGGCCCACAGCCCGTCCAGAGGTATGGGGGAGCGAGCCGTTGCGTGCCGGTGGGTGTGGAAGTGAGCAGCCAGAGTCACAAGCGCCGGGGGACCCCCATGTGGACAGGGGAGGCCAGAGGAAAAGTCCCTGGGGGTTCTGTGGCCTTGGGGACAGGTGTGGGTTGAGGGAGGAAGGGAGCTGGGCTGGGTCTAGGACAGACCTCAGGGGGCAGCTGGACGAGGCGCTGGTACCTCCAGGTGGCAGGTTTGGCTGAGGCGGGCCTTGGGGCGGGTGGGTGAGTGTGGGCTGGGGCAGCGCTGAGGACAGGCCGTGTGTCACGAGGCAAGTGAGCCGGCCCCCAGCCAGCACCACACTCCATCCTGTGTCCATGGTACAAAATACATACACATACAAAAATAATACTCCAGGCGCTGGGGGTGGGCCCCTCCGCACGCGCGCCTCCCCCAGCCGCGGGCGCTGGGCCCCTCCGGCCGGGTCTAGCTCTCCTCCATCCTTCTCTGGTTCTTGGAATGGAACTTGTTCATGAGTTCCTCCAGCTCCGACCCGCCTTGCTGCTTCTGGAGATGGGGAGGGGGCGGTCTCAGCCTAGGAGAGCCGCAGGTCAGGGTCCCTCCACCTCCCCCTTTCTGGGTGACCTGGGGCGCTGGGGTGGGGTGGGGGCACAGGAAGGCGGAGCGCCGGCTCACCTCCAGGAAGGCCTTCTGCACGGTGAGCTGGCTGTACACGCGGTTGCCCTCCTCCCCGCACACCTTCTTCAGCTCGTCTTTGTTGAGCGAGAAGAGCTGGGGTCCCGTCAGGATGCCCAGGTTCTCCACGATCCTGGGGGGCAGGCGGAGGGGGGCGGGCGTGAGGGCAGGGCCCTGGGCGTGATGGCCGCACCTGTCGGCACCTGCCTGCACCTGCCACCACCTGCCCCCACCTGCCCCCATCTGCACACACCCGCCCCCACCTGTCTGCACCTGCCCACCCCCTGCCGCCCCGCCTGCTGCCACTCACCGGGCGCTGAAGGCCTTGGCCTCCAGCCAGGCGCGGACCTCATCAGGGCCTGACTCGTAGGTGAGCGGCAGGCTCACGGGCTGGGTGCGCTCCATGCGGAAGGGCCGTGGCGGCTGCGCCTTGATGTGGCTGATCTTCTTGATGAGCTCGTCGTTGACCTCGTCCATATGGTGGATCAGCTCTGCGGGGGGACGGGGGGCGGTTTAGGCACCCCCACCCCACCCCCGACCGCGACCCCAGGCTCCTGTCCCCTGGTGTGCCCCACCCAGGTGGCTCTGTGCCCCACCCCCGTGCCCACAGCGGTCTGGTGGCCCCATCCCTCACCATCTTTGTTCCCAGCGAAGCTTGGGGGCAGCTTGTGGGTCGGACTGGCAGGACCCCAGTATTTCAGACCGGCCTGCAGGGGTGGGGGGACAGGTGGAGGGGGTTGGGGAAGGGGGAGAGGGGAGGGGTGCCATGAGGCTCAGTTCACCATTCCTCCCAGCAGGGTTGGAGTAAGAATGTGAGGCACCCCCCCCCACCTCCCAGGACCTGTGCAGGCCCCCACCTGGCCCAGGGGCCAGCCCTTCCTAACCTTGGCCATGACCCGGGGAGCCCCCACACTAGCTCCTGCAGCGAGGATTCAGGCTCAGGGCCCGTCATCGGCTGAGACTGGGCTGCACCTGCCCCCTCACCTGCGGGACGCAGCAGGCCCTGACTGCAGACGCCCCTCCCCTCCCACTCACCTGCTCCAGGGGGGCGTCCTCCAGCCGGGTCTCGTCCAGGATGTTGCAGGGCACATAGCCCGCCTGGCCGCTGCGATTGCGAAGCTTCCACCACTGGTGGCCGTCATCCAGCACCTGTGGGTGCACCCCGCCGTCACCCCCGACCCCAGGTCCGCACCCCTCCTCCAGCCACGGGCACAGTGTGGGGCTCTGGGACCACCCACGTGAGCCCCTCTTTACAGATGGGCCAGAGAGAGTTCTGGGAGTCACCCCCCACCCTGTCTTATGGGGACAGTCACAACCCCCTCCAGGCGCCCCTGACCCCACCTGGCCCTTCTATCCCACCCATAGGGGCTGCCCTCCCCCCAGCGCCACCCCCCCCACCCCGCCTTAGCAGTGTCCCGAGTGGGGGTGCTTCTAGCCTGGTTGTGGATGTAGATCACCCCCCCAGCCCGTTCCACTTTCTGTCCCCCAGTGGGTGGCCTGGATTTAGGATTGGCAAAAACACAGACGGTGCTACGAGGGGGCTCCAAGGGTGGGCACGAGTGACAGGCCCCTGCTGGGTTGGAGGATCCTCCGCTTGGCACAGAGATAGCCCATCCTCCAGCCCGAGCCCAGCCCAGCATGGGGGCCCCTGAGCCCCCTCCGAGATCCCCAAGACAGGGAGGCCCCTCAGCCAGGCTGTGCTGGGGGGAGGGTGCAGGCTGTGGAGCCAGCTTGGAGCCCAGGGGTACGGCCCTGGGGAAAGGGGTCGGGCAGACAAGCCCAGTCCCAGCGTGACGCAGCCCGGCCCCCGCCTGCTCCAGCTGCAGGCCTCCCCGGGCGGCCCCTCCCGCCCGGCCCCCGCTCACCTCCAGGACCTCGTCCTTGAGCACGGACAACTCGGTGGCATTGCGGGCCGTGAAGTCATAGAGCACGCGGACGTACTTGGCCATGGCTGGTGCGGGCGCGTAGCCCCTGCGTGGGACGGGAAGGGCTGAGGCCCAGGGCTGGGCTGGGGTCTCCTCCCGGACCCGGGGCCAGGCTGGGGGAGCAGCTTCCCTGGTGCGTGGCTACCGCCCGTTCGGCTCTCTGAGGTGGCAGCAGAGAGAGGCTGCGGCTCGTCAGCCGGGAATGGAAAGTGTGACAGCCCCAGAGCGTCTGGGGCCCCCTGCGTGGGGGTGGGGGTGGTGGAGGTGGGTGGGACGTGGGGGCCTGTGGGCACAGCAAGGCCCGCCCCAGCCCAGGCCACCTCAGAGGTCTCCAGGCCCGGCCCCCCCAGGTTCCCCAAGGGAACCAGAGCCAGGCGTGTCCCTGAGAAATGACAGGGTCACGGCCATCCCTGGAAGGCAGCTGACCAAGAAGGAGGGCCAGTCACTTTCAGAGCCATGGTCCTTCGAGCACCGCAGACAGTGCATGGGCACACACAGCGGAGGAGGTCTGCCCACGAGCAGCAGGGCCATGGGGGACAGCTCAGCTAGGGGTGCCCCAGCCTCAGCACGGAGCAGGCCTGCGGCTGCCGCCCAGGCCGGACCATTCCTCCTGGTCACTTGGGCCCCTGGTCATCAGAGTGGCTCGCTTATCCAGGTGCAGACCTCAGGACACTGGGGAGGTGAGGGGCTGAGGCTGGGGTGGCCACTGTAGCCCTGGCAGGGGCTGTCAGGATTGGCCAGGGTGGACTGGCCAGGGGCTGGAGGTCAGAGGATGAAGACGTTTCTTAAAGTGTGGCCCTAGGCCAGGGACCACGGGCACCAGGCTGGTGCTGTGGGGCAAGCAGAGGGACACACTTCTTTCTTTCTTTCTTTCTTTCTTTTTATTTATTTATTTTTGGTGAGGAAGATCAGCCCTTAACATCTGATGCAAATCTTCCTCTTTTTTTTTTTTTTCCTGAGGAAGACTGGCCCTGGGCTAACATCCGTGCCCATCTTCCTCCACTTTACATGGGACGCCGCCACAGCATGGCTCGACAAGCAGTGCGTCAGTGCACACCCGGGATCCAAACCGGCGAACCCCAGGCCGCCGCAGCAGAGCACACGCACTTAACCGCTTGTGCCACCGGGCCAGCTGGCCCCGGGACACACTTATTTAAAACATAGATTCTGGCCCCCTCTCCTCCTGGGAACTGAATCCTGGGTCTGGCCGGGTAGCAGGCTCCCCAGGTAGATCCAGGAGAACAGAAAGGAGGACGGGAGGTGGGGAAGGATGGAGACTCTCCCGGCCTTGGGTCTGCGAGACGTGGTCCGTGGAAATGCGTGTGTGTGGTGGGGAGAGGCTGGTCTAGCCCAGACCCTCAGTCTCCTTCTCTGGCTCTGAGGTTGGGCCTAATCAGGCTGAAGAGGGCAACAGGGATTGGCGAAACCACTTAAGTTCAGTGGTTTAGTAAATTTCTAATCATGATTCTAAAACATAAATGTGGAGGGCGGGCCCGGTGGCGCAAGCGGTTAAGTGCGCGCGCTCCGCTGCGGTGGCCGGGGGTTCGCCGGTTCGGATCCTGGGCGTGCACCGATGCACTGCTTGTCAAGCCATGCTGTGGCAGTGTCCCATGTAAAGTGGAGGAAGATGGGCATGGATCTTAGCCCAGGGCCAGTCTTCCTCAGCAAAAAGAGGAGGATTGGCAGATGTTAGCTCAGGGCCGATCTTCCTCACACACAAAAAAAAATGAATAAAAAAATTAAAACATAAATGAGGAGACGTGAAAAGAGATGATGTATTAGAACAGTGAATTTGAGTGGCTTTTGACATTTTTCCTTCAATTGTATATTATAAAGTGAGAATGAAAACCTGGCTCTAGTTTGGAAAGATGCTATTTTGAATGGCATGAACAGGGCATTTGCCACCACCTGGTGGCAGTGTACCCATACACCAGAGACTCTGTGTTTTGAGGGGTGAGTGTCACACTCCTTCACTTTGAGGGGAGCTTACCTGTGAGAATGTGGGGGGCTGACATCTCCCGGGGATGTGGGCTCAGGTATGAAGCCGTGTTTCTGGGAGTTTCGAAAGGACTGTCGGCTCACTGGAGTGGGCTGTGGGGAAAGTGGACCGTCTGGGCATGGTGTGGGGTGGGGGCCGGGTTGGAGGACGGGACAGGGCAGGAGCGGTGAGGGCCGTGAGCAGAGGTGGGCTGAGGAGGTGAGTGGCAGGTTGGGGTGGGGCTGTGGGTGCTCTCACCTCGTCACTGGGGGCGGACGCCAGCCCCTCTACTTCCCAGGGAGCCTCCTGCAGCACGTCCAGGGGGGGCTCCCAGCTGTTGCGGAACTTGGGCACGTAGAGAGGCACCTGCGGCTCCCGTGGCCACTCGGAGCTGGGGTGGGAGGTCCCGCGGGTGAGCCGTGCCCACCCATCCGAACCGGCCCCACCAGGACCCCACCCTGGTCTGAGCCCCGTGCCTGCTGCCGGCCTGCCCGGGCCCCTCCCCGCCCCTCCCCGCCCACTGAGGTACCGGGGGCGTGTCCAGGTCTCCCCCAGTGACTCCCACAGTGCCATCTCCTTGGGGACCAGGTGGCCGCGCAGGAAGCCCACGGCCTCTCGGGAGAGCAGGGGGCTGGACACGGAGTGTGCGATGTTGGGGCCACCACAGGTGCTGACGATCTGGGGCACGGCGGGGTTCAGAGGGGGTCACGCTCTCGGAACCCAGCCCCAGCCCACCCACCCGCAGCAGCACAGCCGGCCCAGGGCGCCCACCGCTCGGAGGTAGATGCACGGCCCCAGCCAGCTGCCCAAGGTGGGCGCTTTCTTCCCCCACCCGCCACCAGGGGCAGCCGCCCGCAGCCCCGCTCCCCACCCCAAGCGCCTGCACCCCGGCCCCAGCACCAGGTCCAGAGGCCCGAAGAGGAAGTGCACGAGTTCTGCCGCACTCGGGTTCTGGATGTGTTTCTGCAGCTTGGCCTGGGGGGAGGGGCGGGTGAGCAGGCGGCAGGCAGACAAGGTAGGGGGACGGTGCTGGGGACCAGCGGGGGACGAGGACCCTGCACCCCCACAACGTCAGCACAGAGGGACGGGGTGGGGAGGGGTGGGCGGCGGCACTCACAAGCAGGTTGATGGCCAGCTTGATTTTCTGGAAACAGTCCACAAACTCAGCCTCGGAGGGGGGCCGTGCCCGCAGCGTGAGGACGCCCTCTGGAATGGGGGGGCGGTGGCCGTGAGCCTCGGTGGCCCTGTCACCACACCCAGTGGGTCTGTCCTTCAGTCCAACGCAGTCCACACGCTTGGACGGGACCTTCCCCAGCTCAGTGGCCACTCCGTCCCCCAGCCTCAAACCTGACCCCGACCTCCACCCCACCCCCGCACCGCCTCTGCTGCACCTTGGTCTCCCGGTCTCCCCTCTCTGCCACCCTGCTCCTACGTGCCCCCGCCGCC